TAACCAATTCTCAATCCATGAAAGGATCTTATCCCATGACAACTTAATTTACGTAAGAGCCTTTGGTGAGGGACCTTGTCAAAGGCTTTCTAGAAATCTAAGTATGCTATGTCCACTGGATCCCCCTTGTCCACATGTTTGTTGACCCCTTCAAAGAACTCTAATAGATTAGTAAGACACGATTTCCCTTTACAGAAACCATGTTGATTTTTGCCCAACAATTTATGTTCTTCTGTGTCTGACGATTTTATTCTTTATTATTGTTTCAACTAATTTGCCCGGTACTGACGTTAGACTTACTGGTCTGTAATCGCTGGGATCACCTCCTGAGCCCTTTTTAAATATTGGTGTTACATTAGCTATCTTCCAGTCATTGGGTACAGAAGCTGATTTAAAGGACAGGTTACAAACCATAGTTAGTGGTTCCGCAAATTCACATTTGAGTTCTTTCAGAACTCTTAGGTGAATGCCATCTGGTCCCGATGACTTGTTACTGTTAAATTTATCAATTAATTCCAAAACCTCCTCTAGTGACACCTCAATCTGTGACAATTCCTCAGATTTGTCACCTATAAAAGCCGGCTCAGGTTTGGGAATCTCCCTAACATCCTCAGCCGTGAAGACTGAAGCAAAGAATTCATTTAGTTTCTCTGCAATGACTTTATTGTCTTTAAGTGCTCCTTTTGTAACTCAATTGTCCAGGGGCCCCACTGGTTGTTTAGCAGGCGTCCTACTTCTGATGTACTTAAAAAACATTTTGTTATTACATTTTGAGTTTTTGGCTAGCTGTTCTTCAAACTCCTTTTTGGCTTTTCTTACTACATTTTTACACTTAATTTGGCAGTGTTTATGCTCCTTTCTATTTATCTCACGAGGATTTGACTTCCACTTTTTAAAAGATGCCTTTTTATCTCTCACTGCTTCTTTTACATGGTTGTTAAATCACAGTGGCTCTTTTTTAGTTCTTTTACTGTGTTTTTAAATTTGGGGTATACATTTAAGTTGGGCCTCTATTATGATGTCCTTGAAAAGTGTTCATGCAGCTTGCAGGGATTTCACTCTAGGACCTTTTACGCAGCATAGCTGTATCCCTGGGCATCCAGGCAGAGTTCGCCCAAGAGAACATGCATAAACCAGTGGACATTTTACAGCCTGTCATCCCTGGGAGTGTGGCCCTGCTGATCAATGATGCATTCCTTGAGCTGTCAAGAGCCCTGTGGAGTACATCAGCCTCGGTACTGCCAGTGGCGAAATGCATGGAAAAGCGATACTTTGTTCTCATGTAGTGTTTTGAGGCGTTCTGTTCCCACTTGGCCCCAAACTCCCTGGTAGTAACAGTGGTAATTAACAGGGCCCAGCAGGGTAGGTTCAAGTCTACCCCCAAGGATAGAGATTCCAAGCGATTGGATCTTCTGGGTAGGAAGATCCATACCTCATCGTCCCCAGAGATGTCAACAAACTTTACTGCCCATGTATGATTTCCTTAATTGATCAGCCACGGCTAAATTTGAAGAGAAGTTGCCTGAGGCCTCAGGTGGGGAGTTCTGGGCATTTGCTGCCGAGGGCTGTTTGGCTGCCACAACATCCCTGCAATCCGCCATTGATGTTGCAGTTACTGCAGTCAGGGCCATGGCCTTAGCGGTAACCATGAGGAGGGCTTCCTGGTTGCAAAACTCTGGGATCGCTCTAGATATCTAGCAAGCCATAAAGGACTAGCTCTTTGACAGCTCAATCTTGTTTTCGGACTGGACGGATGACACTTTGCACTCCTTCAAGGATTCCAGGGCTACTTTGTGGTCCTTGGGAGTGTTCATGCCGTCCGCACAAAGATGCCCTAATGGGTGGTGCAGCAGCAGCAATATTGCCCGCAGCATTCCTTTGCGCAGCCTTTCCCCCTGAAACAATGGGACTGGCCTAGAAAGAGGGATAGATTCCACAAGAGAAAGCAGTTGGGCTCAGGCTTCAGACAGTCCTTATGCCCTCCCTCGGTGCAGGCTAAGTGTCCATTGGACTTCTTTGTCCAGAGCACTGGTCCAGTCGTTCCTCCGTCCCCCTGTCCCTTTAGGGACAGGTTGGTCCGCTTTTACCTTGCTTGGGACTCTATTACCTCCAAAAGCTATCAGATCAGACTTTGCACACCAATTTCTCTCCACACCATATTCCCACCCCCCTTCTCCATCCCTATTCAGGAACCCCTTTCATGAGAAACTGCTCATCAAGCAGGTCAACTCTCTGTTGAAGTTGGGAGTGGTGGAGGAAGTTCTGCCAAAACAGCGGAGCCACAGTTTTTACTCCCGGTACTTCCTGATACCGAAATCAAAGGGTGGGATGAAACCTAGTCTTGACCTTCGCAGCCTGAGCAAATTCATCAAATACCTGAGATTCCATATGGTCGCTCTATCGGCCGTCGTCCCTGCACTAATCTCAGAATGACTAGTTCACAGCTCTGGACTTTCAGAATGGGGACTTTCATGTGGGCATTCTGTTGAGCCACAGGAAGTTTCTGTGTTTCTTAGTAGTAGAATGCCACTTTCAATATACAGTTCTCCCTAAGTCTTCACCAAATGTATGACTGTGGTCATGGAATGTATCAGGAGGAAAGGAATCCACATTTTCCTGTATCTCAACAACTAGTGGTTGAAGAGTGGCTCCAGAAAGGATGTTCTCGCCCACGTCAACATTATGTTGCATTTGCTTCACCCTCTGGGACTCATTTTAAACACCGCAGAGTCAATCTTGGCTCCCACTCAAAAAGTTGAGTTTATTGTGGCCCTGTTAGACTCCACGAGGTTGAGAGCATTCCTGCCAACCGACCTCTTCCAGGCAATTCAACATCTCTGCCTCAGTCTGCAATCCCAGCCGTCCACAACAGTTTGTGTGTGCCTGAGCTTGTTGGGCCACATGTCTGCCTGCACACAGGTGGTCCAGTTCGCCAGGTTGCACCTTCTGCCCCTTTCAGATATGGTTCAGGACAGTTTCCTGCCCTGCCCTGCAGATTGGTTCACCTCCCTCCATCAGTCCTAGATTCCCTTCACTGGTGGGAGTCCCTACACAATGTGTGCTAGGAGTCCCCTTTGCTAGGCCCTCTGACCAAGTCAGTGGTTATGGACACTTCCCTTGTGGGTTGGGGTGTGCATCAGGACTCACTGAGGGTGTAGGGCCTGTGGTCAGAACAGGAAGCCTTCCTCCATATCAATGTGCTGGAACTTCGGGCTTTCCACAATGCATGTTGTGCCTTCCAGAACTGCATCAGACATTTGGTGGTTCACATACTCACAGACCATACCACCACGATATACTATGTGAATAAGCAAGGGGGGGAGCATTCCAGTTTACTCTATCTGGAGGTGATCAATCTGTAGCAGTTTTGCATTAAGGAAGACATCACTAGAGCAGCAGTCCAGTTGTTGGGGGTGAAAAATTGTCTTGAGGGCCATCTCAGTAGCGTTTTTCCCTGAGCCACAAGTGGTCCCTGGAGGAGAGTATTCTCCAGGTCATCTTCGCAACATGTGACACCCCTGTGATCGACCTGTTTGCAATGAGGGGAAACAGAAAGTGTCGCCTATTCTGCTCTCAGGGCGGCCTCAGTCCGGGCTCCCTCTCAGATGCCTTCCACTGCAGCTGGCAGTCGGCTCTTTATACTTTCCTCCCCTATTCTGGTCATCCCACAGGTCATCCTCAAATTCGAGGTGGATCAGGCCAAGCTCAGACTCCTTGCTCCAGCATGGCAGAGACAGTGCTGGTTCTCAGACCTCCTTGCTCTGCCACTTGAGTTTCCCATATCACTTCCTCTCTGTCCCGATCTGCTTGCTCAGGACCATGGCTGCACTTTCCATTGTGTGATCAGCTCCCTGCACCTTAGTCATGGCTGTTACATGGCTGAATGAAGAGGAGGAGTAGTGCTCTGCGGCTGTCCAAGAAGTCCTACTCAATCACAGGAAGTTCTCCACTCGGACTGCCTACTTAGCCAATATCTAATAAAAAGAACAGGAGTACTTGTGGCACCTTAGAGTCTAACAAATTTATTAGAGCATAAGCTTTCGTGAGCTACAACCCACTTCTTCGGATGCATATGCATATGAAGAAGTGGGTTGTAGCCCACGAAAGCTTATGCTCTAATAAATTTGTTAGTCTCTAAGGTGCCACAAGTACTCCTGTTCTTTTTGCGGATACAGACTAACACGGCTGCTACTCTGAAAAATATCTAATAGGAAATCTTACTTGAGCTGTACTGAGAGACATTTCTGTTGTTCTAAAGGGAGTTTAGGTTAAATGATTTCCATCCCTTTGCTGGCAATGGTTAGTTTCTTAATTTTCGCTAATTAGCGATAGGTAGGCTTAGATGTCTGATCACATGGGGTATTCAGTACCTTTTCGGTTTACTTTAGGAGTTATCATTCAGAGAGCATTAATCTATTGCACCCAGATAATCACAGTGGAATTCAAGGCAGCTGTCTGTCTGACTGCATTAGGCCCCCATCAGATTCCCACACAGTGTCTTTGCAGGCATTCACATTTGCAGCAACAGTTTATAAGAATTGAACATAGCTTTCCTTATAATATACCTAGTGCTTTAAAGGGTTTATAGGGTGTTTGAGATGACTGCTTCTAAATATTCTAATCTCTGAGTTTTTCTCTAGACCTTTCATTTGTTAGTGTAATTGTAGATTATGCTAAATTTACATTGAAGTGAGACCGCTCCCTATGGTCTGGTCAGCTGAAAGCTTCAGTAGTTTCTTTCATTAAAATTGTTTCAGCCCATGATTAAGACACTAATCTGTGTTCTGCACAATGACTACAGCATCATAGAACAGACTGTGATTCTATACCTGGAGACTCCACTAAATTATTTGCTCTTCATGGTAATGATTCAGTCCCTTTTGGGCAGTAGTTTTCTGTAGTTCTGTTGTAGTACTAGATGTCTAACTTGATCATTATTTTCTTTAGCAAGATATTGAATCTCCTATCTGAAGACTGATAAATGTGTTTTATTTTTTCAGGAGAATCTGCCAGTGATGCAGGTATAGTAAGGATTACATTGAAATATAAATAGCACTCACAAAATACCTATCCGCAGTTAAAATAAAAATTTTTGTAGTAGTATTAAATATTTTTTATAGTTTTAATAGTGTATTTTTCACACTTACACCAATATACATTAAAGAACGTTTAATTTATAAACAAAAATGAAATGTAAATGACTTCTGTTTTCACTTTTTAATACATTTTTATTGAAGTAGTTCTAAGTCAAAAATAATAAAAAGATACCCTGGGCGTTGGTCTGTATTTAGGGTTAAGTGGTGTTTCTATATGTGGTTTTTTTGTTTTTGTTTGTTTTTTGTTTTAATTACAACTGCTTTATATATTTTATTTTGAGACTAAGCAGACACTTGTCTTGCAAAATACCGTAGGTAGTTATTTCACCATCTACTTCAATGGCATTTCCATCTTCCACTTTCCTAATGTCAGTACAAGTTTAGAAAGACATTGGTCTCTTCCCCCCCCCACCCCCACCCCCTTATGTGTTTATGGCTTCAATTTATGGTAAAGGTGATCTGCAACATTTACGTCCCCAAATAGCATGGGATGGATAATTCTGCTAGTAACTGATTATAAATATGCCTTTTAGAAAAATGAAATATATCAACTCTTTAAAGTCATTAGTGTTATGCTGTGATGTTGCAGCTACTGTTTCCCCCTGTTGCATTTAGGAGCCCAGAAGAGTTCACTAAAGTGAAGTTTTATATGTAGTATGGTTTTCATCTCAAGGTTAAATAATATTTTAAAGATTCTGTAACTGCTCCATATAATAGCCATGCCATTTTCCTGGCTACTTTTAGGCCAACTGTGTACTCCAGCAGAGTTTATTGGTAGCTGTTATATCAAAGAGGGATGCATTTTGAGATATCTGATTTTCCTCTGTTGCTAACTTGAGTACAGCTGATTTTGTTTTAAAGGCTAAATTCAGTTAGCAGCCTGCACTCCTCACTTAATTTTAAAGTCTTGCAGGGAACCTTTTAATGGGAGTTGGGTGTGGATGGAGGCCAGGAAAGACCATGCACACACTTCCCCCAAAGTTAGAAGAAAACCATGATGCCAAGTGATGGCTTTACAGTGTGAATAGTAAAACTGTGCCATTAATAAACCAAATAGAACACATTAAAAAGAAAAAGGCCTGACCTTCACACTAACCATAACAAAGCACTCTGAGTTAAGGCTGCCAAATAGTCCTTAATTCAGTCTCATTTAGTCTAAATCTTCTCTAAAGCTCCATCCCTGTAGTCTCTAAGTGACTTAGTATTATGCATATGTGCAGTTTCTCAATCAGTGGATCTTAATGGATACTGTCATGTGCTTTACTAAGAAATTACTTCCTACTTTTATAAGCAGTCTGGGGTGTTCTTCACCAAAGTATGAGTGGCTTACATCATTCATGTGGGATAGAGAAATATTATGCCTATTTTATATATGAGGAAACTGAGAAACAGGAAGGCTTACATGATTTGCAAGGGCCACACAAAGCCCGTCACAGAGTCAGCAATAAGAACCAGGTTTTCTGATTCTCAGTTCAGTGACTTAATATCTAGGCTATCTATCCTCCCTTGCTTAAGGGCAATATGGCTTGTTAACTCCTAATTTCCTTACTCATTAGTTTGTACCATCAACTTTAATATCAAAGTAGCATTTTTGTACATTAAATGTGTTCATGCCTATTCTTTTACTCTAACGAAGTAAATTATGTACAGAGTCAGTAGACGATTTATTCAAAATGCCTGGGTGCTGCATTAAGTTAAAATTAACTTTAAAAAATCCTTACTATCTCATTTGTCAATTAAAAAAGAAAGGGGATGTCTTACTGGCAATAAATTGTTCAGGGCTCAGGGTAAAAATAAACAAGTTAGGAAAACTGAACAAATGAGATCCCAGTCAGCAAAAGTACTTAAACATGTGAGTAGCCCCATCGACTACAGTGGTGGTACACATGCTCAAAGTTAGGCATATGCATAAATACCTTGATGACTCAGAGCCTGACTTACTGGGATGGGGCTATTCTTCAGAGATATCAGAACTAAAGTTTATGGGGGCAGAAGACAAACTTCTTATAGAGGGTTAGTCTTCTCTTAAAGCACTATCTGAACAAATCAGTATTAAATAGGAAAAGTCATTAAATATCTGTTTGTACAAATTTTTAAGATTGGTTGTAAGGGCATTGAATGCTTTCTGCCTCTAATATTGTTTTTTCTAATTTTTATGTTTACTTATTAAAAAGTATCCACAGAAATACTGTTGCAAAGCCTGAGGAACTGGTTATATCCTGCTAACCTGCACAGTTAGCAAATATTCAAAAAAAAGTGTCACTTATTGGTCAGAGAGAATAGAAAAAGAACTAGATACATTCTTGGAGATAGGTCCATCAATGGTTATTAGCCAGGATGGGCAGGGATGGTATCCCTAGCCTCTGTGGCAAACAGAAGCTGGGAATGGGCGACAGAGGATGGATCACTTGATGATTACCTGTTCTGTTCATTCCCTCTGGGGCATTGGCCACTGTTGGAAGACAGGATCCTGGGCTAAATGGACCATTGGTCTGACCCAGTATGGCTGCTCTTATGTTCGTATGTCTATTTAAACTCAGCGTGAAAAGAGAGATTCAGAAGACAATCTTCATAGGTTTAGCATGAGGAAATGTTGAGATTCCCTTTGACCAGACTAGTTTTGTATTCTGTTCAGGGGAGTGGGGGGGAATTAGTTGTATTTTATTAGAATAATCTTTATAATAAGTGGTGTCAACTGTACTGAGATCATAATAATGTGAATATAACTAAACAAGAATTGGAAACACTGTTAGAGGGGAAACAGCAAATGTAAATATTTAATGGAATGAAATAAAAGCTTATAATTGCAATAGATTTTAAAAGTCCTAATGTATGGAACGTGATCTTTTTTATGAACTTCATGTCCTCTCTCATATATACCTCGTATAATGAACAAATATGAAGATAAGAGGAAAAAGTTGCCATGTCACTTTTGAAGAACTGGAGGAGAGAGTGAAATCCTTGTTGTTCTTCGTGTGGTTGCAACTGTGTGAGCATACCCAACGCATCAAAACTGGAGAATTTTGCCTAGCAGTACATGTAAGCATAGAGCTTGCACCCTTTTCCCTCATAGCCCCTCCTGTGGCTATATAAGGGCAGCACTGCCCTCACCCACCTCGTTCCTTCTCATTGCCTACAGCAAGAGTCTGAGTATTCGGTGAGATTTTTTTTTTTTTTTTACCTCACACTTGCCTTCACAGTTTTTTCTCTGTTTCTTTGGAATATAGTTATAGTTGGTTAGTGTAGTACCTGTTAGTCATAATAGTTAGTAGTGGTAGTAGTGATTAATTAGGTAGTTTCTCCCAGTGGAATGCCCTCACCAGGGTTTAAAGTTTGTCCTTGGTGTAGGGTAGCTATCCCCAGTAACATCCCCCACACTTGACATTTATGATGTCTGGGGGAAGGGCACATTAGAGAAAGGTGCTCCATCTGTAAGCTTTTTAAAAAAGAGGACACAGGTGGCTTGAGATTTAAGATTAAAGCCGCATCTTCTCAAGCAGGCCCTGAGCTCTGCCTCAACATCGGGGACCACTGTGGAGCATCAGGCCGCTCAGAGGTACTAAGGGGCCTGAACTAGTACAGGCTGGATCTTCTCAGCTGAGGTCAGATTCCTCGTCAGAAGGAAGAGGGATCTCTTCTTCATCAGGTCCCCCATGCAGATGTGTATTGCCAACCAGCATGTGCTATTATATAAAAATGACTTTGTGAACTGGGACCCCATGTTCAAATTTGTGCATAAGTTACCAGAGTCCTTCAGGGAGGAATTCAAGGCTTTTATTGCAGAAGGCCGTTTAGTGGCCAAGACATCATTACAGTCAGCTCTGGATATAGTGGATGCTTTATCCAGGCTAATGGCTTCAGTCTTTACAATGAGGAGGATCTTATATGGTTGCAAAACCCTGTCATGGCTCGTGAGATCCAGCAGAGAATAGAGGACTTGCTGTTTTTGGTCACCTCATCATTACTGAGAGAAATGAAGAGACATTACAGTCCTTTAAAGACCTCCAAAAGCCCCTGTGCTCCTTGATGATTTATGTTCAGGCCCCAAGGAGACATGGCTTTGGTAGCCATCAATGGCAGCAGCAGCAATATCACCCTCAGCAATATTTCCATCAGTCCCCCTACTCTGAGGTAGCAGTATTTCTCCAGAAAGGGGCACAAATTACAGAGAAGACTTTCTGGGTCTAATTCTAGCCAAATGGCCCATCCTCTCATCTCTTGGACTTGACAGCCTATTTGACTTGAGTCTCAAGAGCAGCACTCCAGCTTGGAACATAACTTTCCCATCCCTTCTGTTCTGGGACAGGTTGTCCCACTTCTATAGTACTTGGGAGGTTATAATTACAGACAGGTAGGTCCTTAGCACTATGTGATCAGATTATGCTATTCAGTTCATATCCAGTCTCCCTCCTATCCCCATACCCATGTCACTGGATGGACCACTATGATGAGTCACTGTTTACGCAGCAGGTGGAAACCCTGTGTGCTATGGGGGCCATAGAGGAGCTTCCTCCTCATCTTCATGGAAAAGGATTCTACTCCCAGTACTTCCTGATCCCCAAATCCAAGGGAGGATAGAGACCTATCCGTAATCTCTGTGATTACCCTTACTACTATTCTTCTTGCACTGAATCATAATGTCTGGTTTGCTGATGTTGATCTCCAATATGCCACACTAAGTGTCTGAGATTTCTTGTTGCTGGCCAACATTAATGGTACACAGTTCTCCCCTTTGGCCTATCTTCAGCCCCATGGGTCTTTACCAAATTGTGTGATGGTGGTGGTGGCCTTTCTCAGAAGGAGAGGGATTCATGTCTTTCTGTGCTTGGACAATTGGCTGGTGACAAAAGGCACATCCAGGGAGCAGGTCCTCATTCATGTCCAGTTCACTTTGGACCTTTTCGGTTAGCTGGGTCTGATCCTGAACAAAGGAAAATCAACTCTAATCCCAACTCAAAAAATTGAGTTCATTGGGGCCCTATTAGACTTTACAAAGTTGAGGGTAAGAACGATTCCAGACAATTTGGCGCCTTTGTCTGGCTCTCCAATTTCATCCTTCAACCATGGTCTGTGTATGCCTGAGATTACTGGGCCATATGGCCTCATGTATTTACAGGGCACAGCAGGAGAGGCTCTTTGCCCTCTTCAGTTGTGGCTGAGGTTGGTCCGTCACCCAAGTTGCCAGTCATTGGACACCCTTATCTGAGTGTCCCCAGAGCTACCGGACTCACTACAATCATGGATAGAGCACAGCAGTGTGTTTCAAAGGGGTCTCTTTTGCCTTTCTTCCACCAACCAGAACATTAATAACAAATGCTTCCACAATAGCTTGGTGAGTGCATTTGGGATCATTAGAGATTCAGTGTTTGTGGGAAGAGCAGGAGACCTCTTGTCATATCAATGTACTGGAGCTTCAAGCAGTATACAATGTCTGTTGGGCCTTTCAGAATCCGTTCCAGTGAGCCACAGTTCATACTCACTGACAATACCACTGCAGTGCATTATGTGACCAAGCAAGAGGGCAGCTGCTCCACCCAGCACTTCAGGAGGCAATAAAATTCTGTCACTTCTGCCTCAAGGAAATAATCATACCCATGGCAGCTCACTTCCCAGGCTCTCAAAACCAGCTGGCTGATCACCTCAGCAGGACTTTTTCAGACAACCGTGAGTGGTCCGTAAAGAATAGTGTGCTGAGATCTATTTTTGGAGAAAGGGGCATCCCTTTTATCAACATATTTGTGACAAAGGACAACAGGAAATGTTGTCAGTTCTGTTCCCAGGTGGTGCTCAGCCTGGGATCTGTAACCAATTATTTCCATCTGAATTGGGGAGCTCAAATTGGACTATGCCAAGGTAATGCTGATTGCACTGGCCTGACTGAGGCAGTGTTGGTTTTCCGATCTTCTCACCCACCCTACCAGCTTGGCCTCCTAAGTCTCTCCCTACCACCTGACTCAACATCACAGCCAGTTTGTTTATCCTACATTGGACAGTCTTCACCTTACTCTTTGGATGTTGCATGGCTAGATGAGGAGGAGAGGAAATGCATGGTATCTACAAGATCCACCTACTTGGCTAAGTGGAGATGTCTTTCAATTTGGGCAACATCAAATCAAATTCAGCCCATGTCAGCTCAGATTCATGATATTTGGTACTATGTGCTGCATTTAAAATCTTGTGAAGTAGCTCTTAGCTGCCTGAAGGTCCACTTGGCTGCAATCTTAGCTTTCCATCTTCCTGTCTAAGGAAAGATGGTATTCTCAAGGCTATGATAGATTTCTGAAGGGTATTGTCTGCCTTTTTCCACCAGAGAGGAAAATGGTGCCATTGTGGCTCTTAATACAGTGATGGCAGTGATTATGGGTCTGCCTTTTTGAGCGGATAGCACCATATTTGTGGTCTCTCCTCACCTAGAAGACAGCCTCCCTGATGGCTATAATATCTGCAAGACGAGTCAGCGAATTGCAAGCCTTATGGCAGACACTTCATATATGCAGTTCTTCAAAGACAAGGTATCATTGAGACCACTCCTGGAATTTTTGTCTAAGGTGCTGTCTCACTTTCACTGTAATCAGGTTATTTACTTAGCTATATTTTCTCCCAAGCCACAATCAGTTCCCTGGGCAAAGAGTCTGTATTACTCATTTTCCCAATGCCTCTAACTCTAAAAGTGATGAACAAGATCAAGCAGGACAAGGACCTCTTGATAGTCCTTACATGGCCAATACAAGCATGGCATCATTACCTTTTTTGATTATCTCCTTGTCTGGTGATCAACCTTTCATGCTTTCCTCGTCCCTCTTAAGATGCAAACTGACTGCTTCATCCCTCCCTAAAGAGTCTCTGCCTCAAGGCATAGGTCCTTGATGGTTCGTGGGCATACAGTCCACTTGTTAGGTAGAGGTCCATAAAGACAGCCTTTTTAATAATCATTACATTGGCTTGAAGAGTTGGGGAAATCAGAGGGCCTTTTTGGTGGATCCTTCCTTTACAGTATTTTTCAAGGATAAAATTTCCCTACATCCACATCCCAGATTCCTTCCTAAAGTATCGTCTGAGTTTCATCTGAGCCAGACCATACGTTTACTGTTCCCTCTGTGTCAAAAGAGCATTGGCTTTCTATCTCGATAGGAGCAAACCATTTTGGAAGTGTCTGAGACAAATAGTCTACATTGTAGACAAATCTAAGTGTTCCTCTATTTCTACCCAGAGATTTCAAGGTAGATGTATTATCACTTGCTATGAGATTGCCAATGCCTAATCTCCTGCTAGGGTTCTGGCCCATTCTACTAGGTTGCAGTCAACATCCTGGCCTTATTTAAGGACATTCCAGTACCTGAAATCTGCAGGGCCAGTATATGGTCTTCAATACATACCTTCTCCAAATGCTGTGCCTTGGTTCATGCCTCTAGATCTGATGTAGCAGTAGGCAGTGCAGTTCTGTCTTCTGTACTAGACTCTATTCCGAAACTCCCTCCTCCTGTGGTACTACTCAGAAGTCACCTGAAGTGAAGCACCCATAGGGACACTACTTGAAAGAGAGTGAAAGGTTACTTACTCTGTGCAGTAACTGTCGTTCTTCAATATGCATGTCCTTATGGGAGATCCACTGTTCACCCTCCTTTCCCTTTGCTTCAGAGTTTTCTCTGTGGGATTTTGCAGTAGAAAAGGAACTGAGGGTGGTTCACCCGTGCAGTTTTATATATCTTCAGCAAGGCATGGGGATCTGTGGGGCCCGTGCATGTCCCCAACTGACTGCTAATGAAAATCTCTGCTCAAAGGTGCATCTGCACCTGAAGCGGAGCACCCCATATTGGGACACAACTTGAAGAAATACAGTTACAGGATGAATCACCTTTCCTTCTTTTCATCCCCTCTGCATCAGAGTTTCCAGCCTCAGTTTTGGTGCAAAGGAACTAAGGGAGGGTCGAGGTGCTGCCCTTATGTAGCCACAGTAGGGCCTACGAGGGAAAGGGCACTAGCTCCGCCCTTACACGTATTACTAGACAAAGTCCTTCGGCTTTGGTGGCTTGGCGTGCGCACAGCTGAGTGGAATACATGTCTGCACCCACATCTCAAAGAACAACAATTACGCTACTGGTAAGTAGCCAACTTTTTCCAAATGGAAAAGGTCACAGTATTGTGAACGAATGTGAAGAGTTGGAGTATAGAGTTATTTTTCAGTGTCCATTTGAACTGTAAGTTCAATATTTAAATAGTTTTAAATATTTCAGGCTTAAAAGGCTTTGGTTACAAATAAATTTTTAAAAAATAAACTGTTTCTGTTGTAGTGGATTTAGTTAACTGGCACACACTGAGCTTTGATAAAATGTAAAATTCAGTACAAAAGCTTAGATTTACATTTCAAACTTGTAATTATGACTAAGCTGTGGTGATGTTTCCTTTTAATAGAAGGAGAAGCTGGAAACCGTGCCTCTGAGAAGACAATGGTGTCCGAGAATGGCGACGTATCTAATGATCTTCCACCTCACGTCACCCAAAGGTCCGTTCCTATCTCTCTGTTCCTTTCTAACCTAACTGTAACAGGTCTGAAGAAGTCAATTATCTTGAGAGCAGATAAGGACACTTTTAACAATAAATTGCTGCTAATGATAGTCTGCATGAAGATGATGTATCAAATGATTCAACCCAGTACTCCTAGATATGGATGACTTCATTGTCTTAATGAACAGTTATTTCCAGTTAGTAATTTTTGTTGAAATCAATGTTATCATTTTAGTTCATAGCATGCCTTGATATAAATGGTGCTATCTTAAATTACAGTGCACAGATTGAGAATGAAATAATGAGATGTACATTACATTAATGCCTTTCCCATACTACTGAGGTGGAGAACTCTCCTTTTCAATTGCCTTATTTTTTTTATCTTTTCAAATACAAATTTACATTTCCTCTGTATGTCCAGGCAAGATAGCAAAGGTGGTTCTTTGAGTGATTGCACATGTGTGTTCCGCTCTTGGTGGGTGCACCCCCCAGGCATAGTTGTCAGAAATTTTTTCCTCAGTGGTACCTGTCGGGGCAGCTTGAGTGCCCTCTACTACCGCGTGCTACTGCATGCGGATAGGGCCAAGCTGCTCTTGAAACCTCCCTCGCCTCAGTTTCTTCTTACTGCCCATTATGGTTGTTCGAATCTGTTGGTCTTGCATTAGCAAGTGCTCTCAGCATGTTTTTTCTTGTATATAGTTACATGTTTGTACAGTTATTAGGGACAGTTGGTGTTTGTTGAGTTAGTTTAGTGTCTGTTAATTCTTTCTCGGTTCCCCAAGTTTGGGGATCTGTTGTAAGTACTGAGGAATGCTTCAGTCACTGGGCTTCAAGCCTTGCCTGGCATGACTGAAGCCTTTGCCTGTGGGTGACCCTCACTTTAGTTGTTTGAAATGCTTGAGTGAGTTTCATATTAAGGATCGGTACCAGATTTGCAAGGACTTCAAGCCTAGAATCATAGAATATCAGGGTTGGAAGGGACCTCAGGAGGTCATCTAGTCCAACCCCCTGCTCAAAGCAGGACCAATTCCTAACTAAATCATCCCAGCCAGGGCTTTGTCAAGCCGGGCCTTAAAAACCTCCAAAGAAGGAGATTCCACCACCTCCCTAGGTAACGCATTCCAGTGCTTCACCACCCTCCTAGTGAAATAGTGTTTCCTAATATCCAACCTAGACCTCCCCCACTGCCACTTGAGACCATTGCTCCTTGTTCTGTCATCTGCCACCACTGAGAACAGCCGAGCTCCATCCTCTTTGGAACCCCCTTTCAGGTAGTTGAAAGAAGCTATCAAATCCCCCCCTCATTCTTCTCTTCTGGAGACTAAACAATCCCAGTTCCCTCAGCCTCTCCTCATAAGTCATGTGCTCCAGACCCCTAATCATTTTTGTTGCCCTCCGCTGGACTCTTTCCAATTTTTCCACATCCTTCTTGTAGTGTGGGGCCCAAAACTGGACACAGTACTCCAGATGAGGCCTCACCAATGTCGAATAAAGGTGAGGGCTTGATGGATCGTATTTAAATATATTTAGGTTAATTCATAGTACACACATTAGCTATCTGGAGCACCAATTCAGGAAAGCACTTAAATACATGCTTAGAATCATAGAATCATAGAACCAAGAAAGATCTAGAGACCAGACTGTAGATTCTTTTGATAGAGATGGTTCTGAGACTACCTTCAGAGCCGTCTCGATTGGAGATGGTACCGAGCACTTCAGCATCTGAAGAAGTGCGTCTCCGATGCTGACTGAGTCCTGGCACTGCTCTCCCTTGCCGGTGCCCAGGAAGAAGCAGAAGGCTTCCAAGGACACTGCTGGGAGATGCAGATCCCCGGTCCCTAAGTCAGCCAAGAAAGGGGACAGTGCAGAGTGCAATCAAAACTGAAGCACTCCTCCACTCATCTGCTAAATCAGCACCGTTGACTATGGCAGGGACTGACAAGTCTGGGGCCTGAAGGAGCATCTTCATCAGTTCCAACACTGTCTACATCTCTTGCACATCAGTCAAAGACTATCCCAGTACATCTACTCCAGAGATGTCTTAAGCTGCAGTGGACTTGCTGAGCTTATCAGTGCTGTTTTACCAGCGGTGCAGATCGCTTATATGGTACTGCTTGGTGCCAGCTCCTTTGTGCAGTTCCCAGCACCGAGTCAATCTCCTGAGTCTTGGAGCTCTTATCCTTTACTCTTCCCTGGACTCTTGGCACCAGTCCCTGGCAGTGACTGGATTGGCCCCTCCTTGGTCAGGAGAAGGTGACTCTTCTTCTGACTCAGATCTTTGCTCTTATGTTCCCCAGCTGCAGTGTGTGTCTTGCTGTTTGCCCCCTCCCCCCCGACCTTACCACCCAGTGTACACTTGCGAGACCCTGTGAGTGGTGCTGGCATGGACATGTGGCCTTCAAGACTTTGGGGTCCAGCGCCCTTTCAATTGCCCTTGGGGGTTCCCCCTGTTTCCAGATCACCCTCCCCAAGTTCAGTTTCCTCAGCTAAACATGATGAGTCAGCTCATCAAGCCCATTATTAGGTCCAATACCAAGCAGGAAGAACGTGTTCATGAACATTTGGCAGGACAATGAACAGAGGACACAGCCTCAGCTTGTGCTGGGTTCATCTTTCTCCTCACCAGGTGAGGCAGTTTCCTCAGGAGTGCCTTTGCCCCCTTCTGATGACTAGAGGGTCCACCAGAAGCTCTTAAAAAGAGTGGTTCAAGTAGAAGAGGTCAGGGAATCTTCTCCCCGTCTCATTGATATCCTGGCCTCTGCTGCGCCATCTCGGGTGGCATTGACAATTTAATGAGGGAATTTTAGAACCTATCAAGTGTCTCTGGCAAACTTCCTCCTCACTCCTTCCCACATCTAAATGAGTGGAGCATAAATATTATGAACCCGCCCAGGTTTTGAGCATTTTTATTCCCATCCCCCTCTGGGGTCACTAGTCTCAGCTTATGTTGAGTGGGAGCTCCAGGGGCAACTGACATCTACCTCTAAATCAAGGGGTGCTAAAAAGCTGGATTTGTTCAGTAGAAGAAATTATTCTATGGCTGGGTGATATATGCCATCATGTGCCAGCAATGCCCCTCTGCCATGTACATTGGCCAAACCGGACAGTCTCTACGCAAAAGAATAAATGGACACAAATCAGACGTCAAGAATTATAACATTCAAAACCCAGTTGTAGAACACTTCAATCTCCCTGGACACTCAATAACAGATCTAAAAGTTGCAATTCTTCAACGAGAAAACTTCAAAAACAGACTCCAACGAGAAACTGCAGAACTGGAATTAATTTGCAAACTGGACACTATTAAATTAGCCTTGAATAAAAACTGGGAGTGGATGGGTCATTATACAAATTAAAAACTATTTCACCTTGCTAATTTTTCCCCTACTGTTACTCACACCTTCTGGTCAGCTGTTTGAAATGGGCCATCCTGATTATCACTACAAAAGTTTTTTTTTCTCCTGCTGATAATAGTCCACCTTAATTAATTAGTCTTGTTAGAGTTGGTATGACAACCCCCATTTTTTCATGGTGTGAGTGTGAGTGAGTGAAAGCTTATGCCCAAATAAATTTGTTAGTCTCCAAGGTGCCACAAGTACTCCTTGTTCTTTTTGCTGATACAGACTAACATGGCTACCACTCTGAAGCTTAGACTCACTAACCAGAAGGCTTTATTAGGGCGATATGACTTTAATATCTGGGATGCCATTCTAAAATTTAAGGACAAGTTGTAAGGCCTCATGCATCTAGAACTACCTGTAGATCTACCGGGCAGCTGACATCTCCCGGCTACCACCCAGTGGCAGCTGCAATCAACTTGCGCTCCGCTTCCCATGACCCACCGTGGACATAGACCGTGGGAAGTTCCGTCTCAAAGGTTTGACAGATGGCAGCCCCATGGCTCCCAATTGGCTCCCTGCCCTATATAAACCCAAGGATAGTTCCAGGAAGTGTCCAGGCAACAGCATGGATCTTCTGTAGCTGCCACGACCATTCCTGCTCCTTGGTCTTGAATTCCTAGCTTAAACCTTGGCTTGATATGGACTTTGCCTCCTGATTCAGACTCTGACCCTTGTTATCGACCCTGGCCTGGCCCTGACTCCGAACTCCTCTGCTATTCCTAGCCTCAGGTTTGCCCGTGCTCTGACCCTAAGCCCTGACTTCCCTTGGTGGGATCTTGAAAGAAGTTGGCTGAGGATGCTAAGCAGGAGTTCCTTTCACTGGTAGATGAAGGAAAATGAATGGCAAGAACGTCACTTCAGGCTGGTTTGGACATGGCTGATTCAGGTGCTAGGACCGTTGCCTTTGCCATCACCATACCCAGGTGCTCATGTCTAAAGTCTTTGGAGTTGCCCCAGAAGGTTCAGCAGACTCTGTAGGACCTGCTATTTGAAGGTCCATCCCTCTTTTCATCTCAGACTGATGATAAACTTCACAGCTTAAAGGAGTCTAAGATGACTCTGAAGTCTAGGAAGCACTTTTGTCCTCAGCTGTACCACAGCTACTCCACTTCTACACCTTGTCAGGTTATATAGAGGAAAATGAATAGGAGTTATAGACGCAAACTGGCTCTTGCTGCTGCTTCAGCATTTCCTGGTCCATCTAAGTGCCCTGGGGTTGCTAAGCAACCATTTTGGTGGTGCAATCGAGGATGCCAAACCAGTCTTTGAAACAGCAAGGTTTGTTCTGCTAGTTCCATCAAAGTCTACTTAGCAGCTATCTTGGCCTTACTCCCTCAAGTGGATAGCTGCTCTGTCTTTTCTTATAGAATGTCAAGAAGATGTTTGAAAGACTTGGAAAAATGTATCCTCAGGAACAAGATCCTGTTCCCTAATGGGATCTAAACTTTAAATTGTCCTTTTGAGCCTTTAGCTACCTGCTTTTTGCTGCATATTTCAATGAAGGTAGCATTTTTTGGTGGCCGTGACTTCTGCTAGGTAGGAGGGGAGGTGAGCTGCAGGCCCTGCCTGATGTCTGGCCCTCCTTATACTGTTTTCT